CTGCTGTTCTGTTAAAAAGTTTTATCTAGTTCTTTTTCTTTCACTTTACCTTTCTTCCTCTGTTTCCTCCTGGTTTCAGTCTATTTAAGGGACTAGATTTCAGTGTTTTCATGTCTTTCTCTTTATTATATTATTTTTTCTAAGCAAATATGCATCAAGTCCTTTAGCGGTGGGAAATGTATTGATAGGCTGGGGAAAAAAGAAAGAAAACGCCCGGCATTTCTGTAGCTTTGAAATGACAAGAGGTCACAACATCGTCAGGAAAGTCAGCCTTACAAGGGAGAGAGCTTATTTGTGTATTTTGCGTCTTTTATAGAAAGAAACAATAGCCGGCTCTCTTGGTTCGGGGCTCTTGGCGCCGCCCAGTGGAGGGAAGAGCCTTTGCGCCTCATTTCCGACAGTGGGCATTATCATCATGAGGACTCTGAGAAACGTTCAAATTAAATAAGATAGGAAGAAATACCAGTTCTAAGTTCATTATAATCTATAGGTGTATCTCTTCTGGTTTTTTTTTAAACCTGATGCTCCAGTTTAAACATAGCCCCAAATCTCGGTTGTAAAAATGGGCCCATAGAGTGTATTGAGGAACAAAACTTGTTATTAAAACGTCTGAGTGTTTGAAACTTTCTCTGTGGTGGGGAAGGAGCATCTTTAGTAATCAGGATTAACGTATCTTTCAGAGCCTGGAATGAAAAATTGTTCTTTATTATCCACAGTTGGCAAATAATTGCTTTCTACTCAAGAATTCTAAAATTTTCCAAAAATTAAAGAATTTTCCTTCTTCTTTGGTCCTTTTAAAGGAAATGAAGGTCCGAAAGTGGAAGATTATTTTCAAATTCATGTCAGTTAGAGACTATATTTATTTGTATTTTAAATCCATTGGGAAAAATCTGAGATTAAATAAATCCAGTTAATGTATTTCCTTTCCTACACATGGGGATTGAAATTACGATTATTCTGCACTCTGTTCTATTTCTGAATTTTTTTTAAATGAAAAGTTAATTATGTTTGCTCTGCCAGAAAGTGTACAACTTCTTGGGTGTATACATATATTATCAGAAATAAAATAGCAAAAGAAGAATGTGTCTAAAGAAAACAAGTTAAGAAACAGACCTCCCAGCTCTGAAGAATTTGTTTTTCATTAAGTTTTCAATCTAGTCTTTAAGCCTCTCTTTTGCATCTTCAGGCCACTACTAGTATTTCCGTTCTGGTGGGGACTCAAAGACAGGAGCCCTGATAAAAGTCAAGGTCCTATTTTCCTCTCACAATTTTTGCTTCCAAATCTGATCTAATATCCCACCTGAAGAAATCATCTATGATCTTAACCTTTTCTTAAGAAAACACGATCTGAGGCAGTCACAAGGTGGGGTCCACCGGGCTTGTTTTCTTTGCTTTAGAGTTTTCATAAAATGAACACTCCCCTAACACTGCCACCTTTCTCCTTTTCTTTTTAGATTTCATTTTTTTTTTTGGTAGGGTCATATTTCTGTCTCCTTTGCTAATGTTGTGAATTATTCTAAGCAAAAAATCCTGTCGAATCTCTCAACACAAGCTGTGCGATCAGTCTTTTGAGCTCTTGAGTCATTTTAGGCGTCGGAACAAAACAAAAACAGGCTTAAATAAATTATTTATCAAGGTCGAGAATAACTGATTTGTGTAGTGCGTTAGTTCTAGTTCTTAAATTTGTTTTCCCTCCTCCCCACTTTCCACCCAGAATAGTCAGCAGGGAGGTGAAGGTTGGAGCCCCAGGTTTGGGAGGAAAGGCACCTATTTTGGAAGTTGGTGGGTGATGTCAGAATAAGAAGAGCCCTACTGGATATTTGAAGGGAGGAGAAAGTGCAGCGTCTGCTTGTAGTCTCGGGCAGCCCCAGCGCCCTTCCTACAAAGCCAAGTGTGCCAGGGAAGCAGGGGGCCGAGGCCTCGAGGGTGTGCAGCACCCAGTCTTGTGGGCGGGACATTGCGACCTTTGATAAGGTAGATACCCTCTTAAGTCGCGGGCGGGCAGTTCTAAAATTCCCGCCGGCCAGAAGGCAAAGGCCCGGCCATCAAGCTCCCAGGTGGATCCCATTGGTCTGTGCGCAGTTTCCACACCAAAGGCGGTTGATCCAACCCGTTCCAGGAGTCATTCAGGCCCTCTGCGGCTTCCCGGCCCAGAAGGGCTCGATCCAGGCCGGCCGGACCACTTCGTGCTCCGGAGGGGCCCCTGCACCCTCTCAGGACGGCTTCTGCCTGCCGCTTGCTGGATGTTCTCGCCTCAGCTCCTCCGCCAAACTCCCTTCGCCCTACGAGAAAAGCGAGAGCGGCCGGGATTGTACATCTCCTCGTCTTGGTCTTTGGCCTCTCCGCTGTTCTCCTCAGAGACAGAGCCGGGGAAAACGGCAGGAAGATAAGCAGCTCAACACACCCTCGAAATAGCGCAGGCCTTTTCTGGGTCAAACACATCGAATTCTCTGGGAAAACACGGAGAGAATGGGTTGGTCCCACCTACCCGCCTCTGGATCCAAAGCTCGCACAGACCCAGTTTCGACAGAAAGGCAGTATCTGGTCCCAGGAGGTCATTTTCCTCCTTGAAATCCCCCGCCCGTCGGCTCTTCAATAGAAAAAAAGCTTTCCCCCAGAAAGTGACCTTTAGAACCGCAACTAAACCCCAGATTTCGGCCCAGCCCTTAGAGACATTAAAGGCCTTTCTACCACCATTCTGCACCTAGTCACAGAAGAGATGCCAGCCACTCAGATTCATAGGGTTCTTAAAATGGTAATTTGGAGTAAAATGTAACTCAAAGAACTTTGAATCATTCATTAGCACCTTATAATTACTCTGCTAATTAGGTTGACACGGCACTTAATCAGGAGTAATACCCCGTCTTGTCACTGGCACTTCCCATTACTCTGACATTCAACAAGAGACAGGTTGGAGACGTCCTAGAGAAAATAATGCAAGTTGATACCCTCCAACGACTCGTCTCAGTTATGCCGTGTTCCGGGTTCCCCAGTGGATCCACAGTGACTCTTTCCTTCGCAAGTGAGCGGCTGAAGGGGCGGGGAGGAGGGAGTAAGGAAGGGATAGAAAGAGAGAGAGGAGAGAGGGAGAGAGGGAGGGAGGGAGGGGAGGGAGAGAGAGAGAGAGAGAGAGAGAGAGAGAGAGAGAGAGAGAGAGAGAGAGAGAGAGAGAGAGAGAGAGAGAGAGAGAGAGAGAGAGAGAGAGAGAGAGAGAGAGAGAGAGAGAGAGAGAGAGAGAGAGAGAGAGAGAGAGAGAGAGAGAGAGAGAGAGAGAGAGAGAGAGAGAGAGAGAGAGAGAGAGAGAGAGAGAGAGAGAGAGAGAGAGAGAGAGAGAGAGAGAGAGAGAGAGAGAGACACTGATTGAAAACTGGCTGGTGGCGAGACGGTGTATGCGCTGCAGGCCCGCCACCCAAGTTCCTGAGCCCCATGCCATCCTGACACTGCAGTGAACCGCCGCGTCTGCCCTCGCCACTACAAAACCCTTCTGGTTTTTATTCCCCTGCTCGGGAGAAAGTGTCTGGCAAGACAATTCTTCCAGCACGGGCCCTGATTGGTGCCTAGACCCGGTCCTGGTTTTGAGGAGTAGGCCCCTTCCCCAATTCCTCCCGAGAGTGCCGGATGGACGCAGACCCTGCTCCATCCCCACTCAGGGACCGGACACCTAGCTGGGCAAGAGCCCAGGCTCCCAGGCTTTTGGGGGGAGAAATCAGAGCTCGGAGTACATCTGCTGGAGTTACACACTTTCCTGTGAGGACGTTCAAAGATCCCCTCCCTCTGCTCTCAATATTCTCGGACTATATTCAAGCGAGTGTTTGGGGACGCTAGGAGGGCGGCTGCGCTGGACTGTAAAGGTAAGCCAGCCAGACTGCTTTTCCATTCGTCCTTTTACTCTTCTCTCTTCGAATTTCTTAAGAAAACGGGCAAATCGTTGCTATTCTCTCTCTTTCCACGCTTTGCTTCCCTTCTCTGGTCTCCCTCTGCTCTCTTCCCTCTCTCCCTTTGCCCTCCCGCATGATCGTGGACACCGGGACCACTGTAGGACTCTCTGGGCTGCAAGCAAAGGGATGTGCAGGTTCTCAAAAGAGCAGCGGGGCCCGAGCGGCGCTCGCTGACGGGCCGCGAGTCGCGTGCCCATTGGC